TTGGAATGAACCAGCTGGTACCAAGTTTCTTGGAAGCTCTGGACGAGAATTGGAGGATTTGCGCTTGAACATGAGGGTCAGAGATGAAGAGGGGGGGGCGGCAAGAAGTACTCCAGCTCCAATCTGCCTTATCTGACCGATACAATCAATCAAGTCCACGTTTCATGTCAAACAAGAACAAAAGCACAAAAGAAGAATGACATGAGAATAGCGCTTGTGTAAAAAAGTCCGTCTGTATACTTCAATGATCCGAATAAGTGCCACCGTGTGAACAACCACCCCCCTTGTCGCTCAGCCTGACAATGATCCTTCCGTGAATCCAGGAATTTGATGCGGGGTGCATGGGGCACGGCCAAAGCAATCAAAGAATGTTTGGCAGTAGAGACTGGCCACCATTTGTTCTGTTTCTTCGAACACTGCCTGTGTGGTCGAATTGGAAAGGTAGCGTGCCTTTAATCTCCTCGCACCATCACCCGGCCACACTGTCATCAAACGCCGCAAGGCGTCCACATACGCCAAGCAATCCTGCCACTTTTCCGCCGCGAGACCCTGCGTGAAGAGAGGAACCCCAGCAACTAAAACTCCATCACTGTCCTCCGGGAACATGCTGCATATTAAATTCTCGCGGACACCAGCAGAAGAATCGGAGGTCCACGCTGAGGGCAGAAGATAGCGATCGAGATGGCGTACTTCATAGCGAAGGTTTTGTTCGAAAGCATTCCAGATCACCTGTGCCATCATGAGAAGGGAGAGATGATCAGTTTCTCCTTGCATCGCCACTATGTCACCCCAGTAAACAGTGCCTGGACAATCACCAATCGACACCGCACTCGAGAAGATGGACCCTTGAGCCTCCTTTGCTTTTTGTGCACGACGTTGATTTGAAGGATTAGGCTTCTTTCCCTTATTCTTTTGCACGCCACCGAATGAGGTGTTGCTCGTCGAGGGGACTGAAGGCACCAACTGCATTATCTTTGTGAAATTGTGCAAAAGGCTGCGCCAATGTTGAGGCGATGGCAGTTGTGGAGTCGAGTCAACGCCGACGAGGGACTGAAGCCACTGATCCCGCATCATTAACCAGGCCAAGATCATCAATCTGTTATGGTTACCACTGATGAAAAGGAAGGGGTCCGGAAATTGATAGCCACGCAAATTACGTGCAGAAAGGCTAGAAGAGATGCGGCGTGGGTTTGTATCCACAGCCGCTAAGGCATTCTTCCATGTGGGGGATTGCGGGGGGACAAAGGAATGTTCGGGCTCGTGAAATTTTGTATGATTGACGGAAGCTATTTCAATAATAATGAATTAGTATCATAACCACTGCACAACCTGTAAAAGAGGAACTTACTTTGAGCATTATTGTTCACGTTGACACCAGATGTTTGGGCAGTAGTGTTCGCATTGACGCCAGATGAGCCTACTAAACAGATTCAACCATGGGTAAGCGAGTTTGTTCACTTAAACACAAAAAAAGCCTACCATTGGTGAGTGTCACATTGGGTTGTTGCGATCCGGTAAAAGACTCCACTACAGCCACGCCACTGACAGCTTGCATGACAACGGGCTGGGGATCAATGATACCAAAATGTCCCTCGCGCCAATTTTGGCATGCAGAAACGTACTCTCCACTTCGAGGACATGCTGTGATGACGGTGGGGTAGGGTGTCCCAGGATATTCTTTGTATGTGAACTCGCGTGGATCCACCTCATTCGGCAATCGCCCCCAGATGACCGGCATCTTCTCCCAACCAGGTGGAACAATCATGTGGATAATCATGTTGGTTGACAGGTTCGCTGGCGGACGAACATACCAACCAGGTGCACCAACCCGGTAGAGCATGGCAATGCATTCTGTACTGTCTGTGATTGCACCCATGATGGACTCATCCACTTTGTGGATCTTCCCAGTAGGCTCGTTCAGACGAAATGCCCATTTGGTGTGCCAATCAAACATGGCGAGAGTTTTGAGGTAGACACGTTGAAAACCAGCGATGCGGTAGACCAAGTCACGTTTAGAAAATGTACAGAATTTGAGCTGAAGAGCGGCGTCGACTGTCTTGTTGGCAAGGTAGAAGAGACGACCGTAGTCCTTCAGCTGCTTGATCTCTCGACATGCCGATTGAAGTTTCCTAGCTTCATTTCGCAATGAATCCGCGATGTCTTCATGCAAAGTTCCGAGATCACGGAAGGCAGACCCTTTTGCCTCCACAAAATGGTTATCCCCAAGATCCCACCAGCAGAAACTGAGTTCGTGGTTCTTGATGGTAGCCTCAGGTGGCCGCGCTTTAACAAACGGCAGATGCCATTGGCTATCAATAAACCATTGAGGGCATACAGTGAAGTTGGCCCAAGCAAAACGGCCGTCTGCACGTGCACGAACTGGGCGGGGGAGTAATGAGATGAAGGGCATCCAGCACATGTTTGGCGATGTCACGATCATTCGCTTCGGAATCGTTTGACCAGGTTCCACCTACGGGGGCGGGGTGGGATCCGAATTTAGCGCTCTGTACGCCTCATTGAGCTCTGCCAGGGACAAAGCGTCATACACCGTGAATTCAGCTAGAGAATTATCAGACCTTGTCATGATTCGGAAAAGAAAACTCCTTACATTCCCCTTCGGGACGCTCGTGAAACTGAAAAATAGTGTCTCCGTTAGGATTGTGATAACATCCAAAGACGTCTGGGCTGCCATCTGATTAACAAATGAGAAAATAACACCACTATCCTGCAAAATGAACCGAACTTACAAGAATGGGCCAAGGGATCCGGGCGAACTGTTCTGGAGGCCATGAGACTTGTCATAGACATAATTCCTACATGTGAAATGGGGTCAGCAGCCATAGTTATCCATGAGATGAGCTTACAGATGCTAAATCTTGAGCCAAATTGCTCGAGTGAAGGAGCACGACAAGCAAAAAGACTGGATTGAAAGAAGATGAGAGATGGTTGTCGAAGATGATTCACGGTGAACTTACCAATACGAAAACTAGCCAATGAGAAGGAACAAGTTGACGACAAACAAGCATTAGCGATCTACTAAGTACAGCTACATATGACCCCATCACGAAGCGACCCCGTCGCGAAGAAATCCACTGACTTAAAGTCTGGTGGATAGTCTGGCAGTTCGTTCCATCAACTGAAAGTCTGATGGATGTGGATCGACTGAAAGTCTGATCCCAAGACAACAAAACTCGAACTCACCTCAACACTCGAGTGCCTAATCAAAGGATGAGGGGATGACTGGCGATGACGGACGGGGTCAGAGGAGACGGCGAGTGGACTTGTTCAAATGTTTGGCATGGCCTTGATGGCCATGGCAAACATGGCCTTGAAGGCGATGCCTAACATGGCACAGTTCACGCCAAACGTTTCATCAATCCCTTTCTGGTCACTGTTGGGAAAATTCCACCCACGCTCTTGAGCGCGCGCCGTCACCGATTTTGCCAGCAGACTATCAGTCGTTGGTATCGACAACCAGACTTTAGTCGGTTGCTCTGCACATCTTTGGAGCCAGACTTTAGTCGGCTCCTAGATAAGATCCCACAAGATCAGCAATTGCCTTGACATCGATCGCCTCACCAACGTCAATGACACCTGGTTGCTAACTTCTGGTGGTTCAATTCGCTGCACTGCTTTCCAGCCGCTTTGTTTTTGACGAGCCTCTGCATGCTTGCGGCTTTTGACACTTCTTTTCATGTCTGCCTGTTGCAAGATCTATCTGAATCGCATTCACGATGTTCCACGCCCTCAACACCACCGACTTCTAGCGCTTACTACCTGCGGATGGCTCAATTCCTGTGCGGCGTTCCATTGACAAGCCTCTGCACGCGTACAGCCTTTGACCTCTGCATTTTCCTGCCACCTGAAGTCTTTGATCCAATCAGCCAACGACAGCATCAATGGCAGTGAGAACCAAGATTCTCGTTCCGAAAGCTGTCCGTGAACGACATAGACATATAATCATGTTAGAATATATTTTTTTTCACTGATTTTTTGAGAACTAAAAGTCTGGCGCTTAAGGGGAGCAATTTGTCGATACTACCTCAGCTTTCAACGCGACGTTTAACCGCATACAGCCTTCCAACTGCTTTCAAAAGGGATTGGCTACCTACCTCACTTTGCTCATGGTTAACCAGCTCGCTATCAGGTTTCTCCTGGTTTCTCCACCGTTTGCTCAGACACGAATCTTTGAACATGATCGTCGCCACGCCGTTCGTCCCCTCTTCACGCGCACTTTTCGCACGCGTCATCACTTCCTCAAAATAATAAATCATCATCACGAATTGGCTGAAAGTCATCGCCTCCAACCCTTTCAAAACGCGCTCTATCGTGGCTGGCCAAAAAGACATCTCAATTTTCTCGCCGATGCAAGTCCAACACTGTTAAAAGTGGCCACGTCAACTTTCAACATGTCGCCATGTCAAATTTCAACGCGTCGTCAGGACGAACCTCTGGGACTTTACTCTGCGCATGAATTGGGAATGCAGACCGCGGTAAGTGCAATTTTGCAGCAGTATGAGTATCTTCTGATGTGCTTCCTAGTAGTTCAATACGAAGCAAGGTGCATTCTCCCTGCCCAAACGGGATGCATATCTTTTGCATCGAAGATATTTCAGATAATGAATCCCATAGAATGATGTAGTTGTCATTTTTTTCATCATAGAGAGTCCGCTATGCACTTTATACTATTGGCAATTGGGGCTAGCGCCTAAATGCCAATCCATACTAAATACCATTACTCTGCCTTCTTGAGGCCCTTCTGGAGTTGCTGCACTAACGGCTCCCATCTTCACGCCCTTGGATATGAAGACTTTATTTGCCCCTCCCCATCAAAGCCAAATATGGGCTCACGTGAGTCGACTCCCTCAAACATTTATTAACAGCTCATCCTCTCTTGCAGAGCTCTCTTTCGCACCAATTGTCATACCACCAACTAGAAAACAACTCCCATTCTTATTATGCCACCCCGAGCAAAAAACAAAAAAAATTCAAACTCTGGCATGCCTGGTAGCAAGAAAGCCGTAAGTTCGCCCCATCCTCCTGCCACAATTCATTTATATTGATGTGGCGTTACTTTCAGGCCCTTCGAGTCAGAGGTACCGAAGACCGCAACGCCCAGATTGCCGATGGTGGAGAGCCTGCTCCCCCCACTGATCATGGGGGAGCTGGTGAGGATGTCGCCCTGCAAGAGACACCGACCGCCCTTCCGCAACCCCACAAGAAGCCACGTGAGCTTATAGACTGTGTCCTCATGCAGCCTAGCAAAACCCGTTCTCGAATGGAGACAGCTGGGGTTACAGCAAGGTGAGGCATTTGTGTTATATTGTTCATTCGTCGCGGAATCAGACTTCAGTTGATTCCTTGCCAGACTTTAAGTCAGCAAGCCAGGTCGGCCAGACTCTAAGTCAGTCGATGAGGCAGCAGCGGCTCTGGAAACAAATAACTGACTATAGTTTGGCAGAGTTGAACAGTCGCTTTTGGAATCTAGTGCTGTGTTGGCACCCACTGTCACTGCGCCAATTGCAATGAGGAAAACCGCTCCCACTGCGCAAACCACGGTGACCACTGCTCCCGGTGCACTGGACCCTGTGGTGACCATGATTCCTGAACCAGCATCAGCTACCAAAGATGACCCTCCCCCTTGGGTGACACTCTTATCCTTGGCCGATTTCGACAACGATGAGATCGAAGCAATGAATCAAGAACGTCAAGTGGTGACCGACTTCTCGGTGATTTTGGTCTTCTGAGGTGCAATAACTTGTGGGTGTGGGCCAGTGCTGCGCATGGCATGTATGAGTCCTTCCCATGGACCTCCAATGCTGAAAAATATGTAGAGTAAGTTTTTTTTTTAAAAGGCATATTTTAACATTTTCATCAACAATGGATGCAAGCCACATTAATGTAAACCAAGAGATTGTGAATAATGTTACAGTAACAATGTCTAAAAAATTGCAAAATCATTTGACATTTATTTACAATTCTTTATAATCATTTGCTTCAAATCAATGTGGCTTGCATTCAATGTTATAAAGATATTAATCTAGAATTCTATTTTAATGTTAAATTTATCAAGACAAAGTTCTAATTTAAAGTTGAGAATATACAGCCAAAACAAGTTCCTGATCTTGATAGTATCTAAGATCATTATTGCTTTTATCATCTAGCTGCCCATCTTCTATACACTTATTTTTGGTGGTTATCCCATTATGGAACCAAACTTTACCTTCATATGAAAAAACTCTAGAGGTGAAATGATTATCCCCATGGTATATGATCCCTCTCAGGCTCAGTAAAACTTCTTCTCCATTTACTACAAACTTTACCTTGTGACTAGTTTCAGTATTACAGTATGGGTACTCCAGGATGATAATCTTTGGAACCTCTGCATAGGATACATGCTCAATCATTTCACCTGAGCAACCCCCACATATTTCTGTAGATGGCTTCTGAATTGATCCTATCCATTTGAAGTTGATGCTGGATAGGGTCAGATGC